CTGAGGACAGAAAAAAATGACAGTGAACATAAGGTGTTTTCTTTAAAGAGTAATATATTCCAAGAGTCATTTAATTGAAACAGAGAGAAGTATATCCAAACAAAGCCATTCTGAGCTGTTCGTAGAAACAAAACTGTGTGTTTGTTTCTTTAAATAAAAAGAATCGCAACAATACAATACTGGTTATTTAGTGCTGGTAAAAAGTAAGGCATAATATAAGCCGAATTACAGGAGGGGGGGGGGGGGGATAAAAGAAGCCAGACCTACACATGACGCCCTTCAACCAAAACAAAACCGTATTTAACAAAAAGCAAGCAAACATTTTGCGTGATTAAAATTGTATCAAAAGCGATGTTCACTGCCCTACTCAACTAAATGTACGTTATTTTGATGAACAAGCACCTGGTCCCTCGTCTGGGCACTTGTTGAAAGGAAAAAGCAACTTATATGCTTGGAAAGTCATCTAAGCCCCATAAAAAAACTATTTATCGATCTATGTCTTAGATTCAAACCAGGGTAATCCAAGGAGGTACTACCTGATATGAAGACATGGCTTTACATAGCATTGGATAAAAAGAGAAATAGCGCATTTTTTAAACAGACTTATAAACAAAGCGCGAAATACTGAAACGATAGAAAGTTCGTATGATTATTTGGTTCCCTTTAAGGACAAGCGGGCTAACCCAGATTTCGGGGGTTTCCAGAAGTCTTGACCTACACCAAAAGTGGGCATTGTCCTACCTATAGGAGAAGTTTGGTTTCATTGGTGCGTATATTTGCTCGGTGGTACAGAAAACTCTACTTGTCTTTTAAAGAAACTGAACAAAGGGCAAAAACTTTTCCTTCGATTTTCTAAAATTAGCATTTTTCTGGAAAGCCCCCTCAACTATTTTTGCCCCTTGTTCATATTTTGACACCACGCCTTAAGAATAATGTCTGGTTTGAACTCAAGGTAAAAATTTTACGTCTCCACCAATACAATTTAAATGAGCAAAGAGGTGGTCTTCTTTGACCCTGATTGTGAAACCCTACCCGACACTAGATAAAAATTTCATCACTTCCCCTCGAAGGGATCGATTTCATATCTTCTGCATTCAAATGCTAAAAGGCTGAGCGTTTCACATCAGACGCTTGTCCAAGAGGTTGGATGGATCAAAACGTAATAAGGAAAGTCTAACAGAGAAGTTTCAAGATATCAAGGGATGAATACGTTAGAGTTCAGAAGATTTAGAAACCCTACATTCCCCAAAAAGGCTCGGAAATCTTGTTTCAAAAATGCTTCCATCGTCATCTTCAACATTGACATTGAAAAGGCTTTCTGAACGAACTGTTGTGATGGGCTTTAAATGTTTCTATTCCTTTTCCTGGTGTTGATGAAATGTGGTCGTTATCGTATGCATACATTGTAGAATCTAATTAAATCTCCTTGGTAACAAAAGTAAAAGTTAGGGCTAAGGTAACTAGGGCCAAGTAAATATTATTTTCGTCACTTTTCGGGTTAAGATATTTTATCGAAAAACAAATTTATTACAAGGAAGGAGTTCCATTTTATGACACATCCTCGTAGAAAAAAATGTACTTCAGTCATATTTATGGTGGAACCTTTTGATTCATTCTTTTCAAATGTCAGTTACAAAAAGTGGATTTTTTTTTAAAGAACAAATTATAATTTGTGTTTATAAGTACAGTTACCACTGATATGTCTTCCCAGTCGCTCCCTGGGAAGCCTTAGAGGGAAAAATGTTGTGCCATTTTAGTAACCAAAACATGTCTAACTTACTTACGTTTACTCAAGACCCACTTCCTTTTTTTTGCTTTTCCTACACTGAATGAGCTGGACCACCAGAGGCTCAGCCGAATTATCGCGTCTTATTTACAAGACCGGCATCAACTATGCTATTTCACTCTGATTTAATTTGGTCAAAAATCATTTTTGATTGTCCGTTTATATAATTCAGTTAAATTATTATTTTTGTAGTTTGATAATTTATTGTTTTTCTTTTACTGGAAGCTTTCAGTGAGTTAGCACAGTTGCGGTCACATTGAGCGTGGAGTGGATATGGGCAATGGAAATAAAACCAAACAGATTTAGAAAAAAAAAAACCCAAGTCCAGAAGACCATTAGACCGCCCTTCGCCCACCTAAGCGTTTTACGATGAGACAGTTAGACAGAGTGGCGATTTGAGAAAGAAGTCACAAGGGACATTGATTAACGTAGCCAAAAGATAGATAGATAGATAGATAGATAGATAGATAGATAGATAGATAGACGGATAGATAGATAGATAGATAGATAGATAGATAGATAGATAGATAGATAGATAGATAGATAGATAGATAGATAGATAGATAGATAGATAGATAGATAGATAGATGATGGATGGATGGATGGATGGATGGATGGATGGATGGATGGATGGATGGACGGACGGACGGACGGACGGATGGATGGATGGATGGATGGATGGATGGATGGATGGATGGATGGATGGATGGATGGATGGATGGATGGATGGATGGATGGATGGATGGATAAAATAAGAAAGACAGATGGAAAAGATGGAAATGAAAAAAGGGAGAACGAGAAGAAAGAAATAGATCGAGAGAGGGAGTGGGAGAGAGATGGAGAGAGAGAGAGAAAGAGAGAGAGAAAGGAAAAGACAGAGAGAGCGAGAGAGTAACTGTGAGAGAAAGAGGCAGAGATACACTTAGACAGAGACTGGCAGAAAAAAAATACGGCAGGACAGACTGTCGAGCATTCAGCTAGTAAAGAGAGGAGATACACATTAACGAAGGTAGTGAGAGAGAGAAAATGAATAGATAGATAGATAGCTAGATAGCTAGAGAGAGAGAGAGAGAGAGAGAGAGAGAGAGAGAGAGAGAGAGAGAGAGAGAGAGAGAGAGAGAGAGAGAGAGAGAGAGAGAGAGGGGGGGTAAAGAAAGGAGAAAGAGAAAGAGAAAGAAAGAGGGAGTGGGAAACAGTGTCAATGAGATGGGTAACGAGGCACGGAACGTAAGGTAAACAAAGAAAACACAGTTATAACGTTAATAGAGTTAGTCAGACAGAAAGTCTCCGTCGCTGTCTGAGTGTAGATTCTTGCCAGCCCACCAGACGACCCCACTGTCTCAATCCCGAATGCAGGCTCAACTTTTCGCTTCTACTTTGCATTACATAGTCTTCCGCAACAGGGGAACGAAAATAGGAAAAGAGGGAGGGTTGGGGGAAGGGAGGGGGAGGGTGGTGGAGGGATAGGGGATGGGGTGGTAAAGGAGAGGGGTAAGTGGAGGGGAAGGTAGCTACTTGTGAAGAGAGTGAGAGAGAGACAAAGATCTTCCTCTGAGATAAAGACAGTATGAGATGTTTGAAATGGCCGTTAAAAAAATAAACAGACGTACACGGAACAACCCGTTGTCGAAAAGCAGGGCTAGAGTATCGACTCAGCATTCGGCTTCTAGAATATTTTTCAATGTATCCGTATGTAGTACCCACATGTATGTCATTGCAAAGACTGACCGTTTGACCCAGCGGTAAGAGTACAAAAAAACACAGGGTTGAGAGGAGAAGACTATAAATGACTGTAGTAAATCACTGTGAAGAAATGGTCATGTGTGGCATGTTAAATGTAATGTAATGTTTTCAAAGTGCCTATAAACACCCTCAGGTTACTTTAAAGCTAAGACCACACATTCGAACGGCAGCCGTCAATCGAAACGAGCTAAAACGGGGAAAACTTTGAATGACCAGATTAGAGCGCCCATTACAGCATTTCGTAGGAGATAAACTTGGGGAAGACGGTGTACTTTCACAGGTGTGTTGACAATGTAAAGATTTTTTATATTGTTCACTTATGGGTAATCTCATCCTTTGAAGACATTGCAACAAACTAAATTCTATAAACGAACCTTTTAAGCATTATTTGAACCATCTTATGTGACTTTTTTTTTCTTATTGAGAATACAATCAAACAGAACACTTGCAGAAAAAAGATGATCAAGTTTCAATTACTCTTAAACTTGTGAAGTCGGATTAAGCAATCGTAAAGGATGACATACATTTGACATTTGAATTTGTCAGCCTTAACATGACTTTAAAAACACTATTGGGATTTTCATTCTTAGATCAACACTCGATCAGAAAAACTGCATGATGGTGGATAGGATTACGAGTGTAAGCCACTCATTTCAACAGCCTCGACTTCATGGGAGCACATAACATTACAATTTGAAGGTTCCTACCTGATACCGGTGGCAGTTTTTCTCATTTAATTTGAGGAGCCATTGATTATCTACTGGTTTGGTATTTACAATCGATACCCGCATTATGGTGTAAACCCCATTGTATCTGAAAACCTGGAAACAATATTGTCCACAATCGTTAACATTATTTCATAATTTGGGCTGATTTTCTATGAAATCGTATTTTTTTATCCGTTCAAACAAATTTCTTTTGGTCTTTGCCTACAGATGGAGGAAAACACAATATCAGTGCGTGCCTTTTAGAGTAAGGATGGAATGAATGGATGAATGAATGAATGAAGTAAGGGATGAAGGGATGAATGAATGAAGGAAGGAATGAATGAATGAATGAATGAATGAATGAATGAATGAATGAATGAATGAATGAATGAATGAAACTTGACTTAGATAAATACATAACAGACATTATTAGGCAGGGACATTGTCTGAGAGATAATATCTAGATCAATAGTTAGACATTCAATATAGCTATATACACAAATGGATGCATTTATAAATACCTAGATGGATAAATAGATAGACAGAAGCAGGACACTGTAACCTTCCTTTTAGAAAACTGACACCCTACAAAAGAAAACCCGGAGGTTTCAAAAGACGAGATGTTACGTCACGACTCGTCATTGGCAGCCAATACCAACACCCAGTTCCTGAGTCACTCTCATATAAAAGGATCTAGGATTCTTCAAAAGTCTTTTGCGTCTTTTGGGGTTCACAATAACTATTACACTGCACACATTTCGCGA